ACCACCCCCAAACGGATCGTCAAAACGAGGTCGTAAATCACACATTGGAAATATATCTCCGATGTTTCACAAGCTCTCAGCCTAAGAATTGGGTTGTCGTTAACATGAGTAGAATTTTGCTATAACACAAGTTGGCATGCAACGACTGGTTGAACAACCTTCAAAGTGGTGTATGAGCAGCCTCCTCTCTCTCTTAGCTTATGTCTGAATAATAGCTAAGGTTGCAGACGTAGAGCAAGAGCTGATGGAGAGAGATGCAGCTATCAAAGAAATCCGTGAGAAAATCAGGGAAGCCCAAGCAAGAATGAAAAACGTTTATGACTCCAAGCATAGAGAAAGGGAATTTTCAGTCGGAGATATGGTGTATTTGAAGTTGCAGCCGTATAGGCAACTGTCTGTGTCCATGAGAAAGAACTTTAAATTATCTGCAAGGTATTATGGTCTTTTCAAGGTTCTACAACTCATAAGGGCAGTGGCTTATAAATTAGAATTTCCGATTGGTTCAAACATTCATCTAGCATTCCAAGTTTCTCTCATAAAGAAAAAGATTGGAGATAATTATAGTGTTCAACCACAGTTACCTATGGTAAGTATTGATGAGGATAAGATCGTTCCAACACCACAAGTTGTTCTTGATCGGTGGGTTTGGAGGAAGAAGTAAAAAGTTTTGATCCATTGGCAAGGCTCGTCACCAGCTGACGCAACTTGGGAAGATAGGGAGATGATCAAAGAACAATTTCCAGATATCACCATTGAGGACAAAGGTGAAATTTAAGGGGGAGGGAGATGTTACAACCACGAAAAATCTTCCTTGTTGATAGGCCTTTTTTGTTATATATTATTATCTGATAATAAATTTTTTGTTTTCTGTCTAGTTTGAATTATGCAGAGTTGTTATTAGTTTTCCTAATTTGATGGATTTTACCTATTATCTTGGAATGTAACCGTTGCCATACAACCTATTTAAGAGCCTTGAGAACAATAAAATAGTACGTGGATTATTACCTTTACACTTTTGTGTCAATCTTGGTGGTACAGATTCCCTCAAAGTAACCTAGTGGAGGTGCAGACTCCCTCAAAGTAACCTACGGCATTCTTATTTCTCTTGGGCCAGCATTTAGACTCAAGATAGAGAGAGGAAAGCAAACAAAATATAGCTTGGTTGTGCCATTTGTCATTTGCTCTTACTGAAGCATATAATCTTTTTACTTTTGATACAACCAATTGGATCAAAATAAAAGTTCATAAATTTTAAATTTTAAAGGGGAAGAGATTATGATATTCTCTTAATCCCAATAAGCAATCCCAAAGAAGAAAACAATTGAATTTGCACCTTAAAACAGATCAAAAGGAGTAGATGAGATTTCTGCCTTTAAAAACTCAAAATCAATTTATTTTGGACAATGAAAAAGCCATATACAAAATTTTGGATAAAGAAAGATATCACTCTAAAGCCTAGATCTAAAAATTACTTTCTATGGTGCATTTTCAAAAAAATTGTTTTTCTTTTTCTGTTTTTATATTGCTCAAGTGAATATTATTTAAGAAGTGAGATCCAACAAATGCCCCAAACATGATTTTTTAAGGTGGGTTTTATTATATTATAATAAATGATTGCACGAAATCACTCCCTTGAGTGTGTGTGCACAGGCACATGTAAGGTTCTAGGATACATCACACTAATAGTAAATAGAGAATTTCCCACTCTAAAATTTTTTATAGCAAAAGGCAAACAAAAGTTTTTTAAAAAAAAACATTTAACAACAAAAGGCCGTTACCAATATAAAACTTACATTAAAAATAACTTGTTTTAAATTTTTGAAATGTTATATTTGTAATTTTAAATTACTCTTAAATTTCAATAAAGTCAAAGAAATTTTTTAAATTCAAAATTATTCGAGGGATTTCAAAAGGACCAAAACAGGAAGTATCCTCAACATCAATTTAAAGCACGAAACAATTCCCACTCTCGACCACCTATTTAATAGAGGGACCTGGTTTATATGTGGCCAAGCCCACATATGTCGAAATGCGGGCCTCATAGTAAATCTATTTTTTAGATGGATTAAAGACTTAATTTTTAAGGACATGTAATCTCTTACATGAAGATCAGGAATATGAAAAAATAAATAAATTTTAAAAATTAGAAATAATAATTCTAGAAAGAAAACATTTGGACCACTAGTTTCTATTGTTTTTAGATGAAACACCTACTTGCATCCATTTTTTAAGATGGATGCTTTATACTTTTTGGACCGCATATGTAGAAATGCAGTCCAGCCAGCATGAAACATTTTTTCTTAATAGAGGGGACCAAATCTTTTGAAATTGATTACAAAGTGAAACCAAGAAAAAAAAATTGTCACAAACATCCCACTAGGAATTTTGCAGGAAAGCAAATATACAATTTGGTACAATGCTCGACAAATACCCAAAATGGTACCCATTTATATTCATTGCAATTTAAAATGCGCGCCTAGATCCAATATTCTCAGAAATAGCAATACCCCTTTTTCAAAAAATAAGCTATAACCATGTCTTTTTAAATTTAATTATTATTTAATTATAGGTAGGATTTATAAGGTATCGATGCTAAACCACCGAAGCAAAGGTCACCTCCAATTCCTACCATAGTTCAGGTGCCAGAAACTTCCATGGTCACATGAAAATTTATCCTCACTTATGAAATTTAAAATTGTAAATATGATGCATATTGTAAGCGAAAAGTTTATATAAAGCCGAGGATCTGAATAATCAAATTAGAGCCTACCTCAAAAATTTTACTAGAAGAGGTTGTTTTGATGCCCAAACATCCTCAAATTGATCACTTGACATCAAGATGTATGGACAAGAGAAAAAAATGGATTTTAAGCTTTGAAAATAGTATATTTTGAATCGTATTTTTGGAACGTCAATTTTCAAGATTTTCAAGTTTTCATAAATCTTTCAATCTACACTAGTTTTGAAGCTTTAAACTTTTAAGATAAATAAAGATGAAAATATATTTTAAGGCTATCACAAAGATTTTCACTATAAGGTAGGCTCTAATTTGATTGTTTAGAGCCTAGGCTCTATACAAATTGCACCCTATTTATAAACACGCTTTAAAATCTTAAAAATGAACATTCCAAATAATGTATTACAAAATACACTATTTCTAGGGACTGAAACCCATTTTTATATCTATACAGCTTAAGTTTGAAGTAACCACTTGGGTGGTTTTTAGTCTCAGAACAACCATTTTCAGTGGATATTTTGAGAAGTGCCTTATTTTTATTGTAATATAAAAGATTGTATACTATTATACTGTTTATTTTTTGTATATGCAAGTCACACTCAGTTTTAAACATTAGATGTGAAATTCAATAAATGAAATTGTCACAACATTTAATAAATTGTACTTTAGACTTTGTACCCAAACAATGACGCATCCTCAACCACCCAATTTCAAATCTAACAGGCAATATGATTGTGACCTCTTTATATCAAAAGTAAATAGTCTCATTGTATATCCATAGTATAAAGTGTCATTATAAATTTTTTCCTTCAGCATTTCCTAAATCTCCCCCTTGTTATTTATGACAACCATTTCAGTTTCATAGTAGTAATGCCTCGCGCTTGTTGGAGCCAGAAGAACATATGGGAAAGTATATAATGAGACCATTTACCTTTGGTACAAGATGGTTATAATTAATGTTGACCATTGGATGTGAAATTGAGTGGCTGCATTTGTCGCATTGACTAAGCTCAAAGTTCAAAATAAGTTTTCTTGAACTTTGTGACACACCCAAGCTATCAGATTTCACATCAAATGGTTGTAAGTAATTGTGAGATGGAGAGAGATTGAGGAAAGCGTCGCACATTGAATCACAGAGGGTTGGGCAAAGCAGAAATGTGCAACCAAAGTTTTATGTGATCACCACATACCAATAAAGCTGAGGGAGAAGTTCTATAGGACAGTTGTAAGACCTATCTAGCTTTATGGGGCAGAATGTTTGACGGACAATAAACAACATATCATAAGATGAGTATAGCGGAGATGAGGATGTTATGATGAATGAGTGACAACCAAGAAGGGATAGAATTCGAAATGAATACATTCAGAAAAACTTAAGTGTGGCTCCAATAGGTAATAAGATTAGAGGAAGTAAACTTAGATTGGATGGCCATGTGCAACACAAACCCCAATATATTACCGATTATGTAGTGCAAGTTGGTTCAAGTGGAAGGCTCAAAAAGGGCAAGAGGACATGGCTAGAAGTAGTGAGAAAAGATATGGGAACTCAAACCTCACTGACAGTATGGCCTTGATAGAGCAGAACGGCAGACTAGAATTCACATAGCCAACTCCAAATAGTTGGTAAAAGACACTAATGATGATGATCCACCTCCCCATTTAACTCCATTGTTAGCCCTACACAAATATGTCTGATTGAAAGAAGACCAGAATTGCCCACTTCCCCGATCCCAAACTAACTCAGGCAATTCCAAGTCCGATGAAATGCACACAGTTGACTCATGAGATGGAGAAGGTGAGGAAAGATGCCACGGAAAACAACAATCTCTATTTTAACAAAAAAAAAAAGGACATTCTACCATTGCTTTTAGTACTTGAATTTTATTTGTTTGTACTAAAATGTTTTATTTGAAATACTCCCAAGTCTCTCATATGCTTTTTGGTTGGGAACTTGAAATTGAGTAACAGAGTTATAAATTATTGCAAAACAGCAGGTGAATGGAAATTTGGGACTTCATGGCCAGAACTTGACAATGGCAAATGAAACCCATTCAACCCAAGATTATCTTATGATTTTTAATCCAAGTTCCTCTTCTAGGATTAGAAGTTTCCAATAGATTTCTTATCCTGCAATATAGACTTCTCTTCCTATACTGCAGATTCTACATTTCCTTTCAAAAGAATGAATATGATTATTCCTAACAAAAAAAAAGAAAAAAATAAAGCAAAGGATACCACATAGGGCCTATGTTTGGCATATGAACACACCATCCATGCCTAGGTGAACGCCACCACCCATCATTCAGTGAATACCTCAGACTATGTAAACATATTACCATGCATCCACTGCAAGTATGGCATAATAACATTGAAAAATATTGCTCAAGAAAAATAGTTCTTCCAACATATCAAACAAACCAAGTTGCTCTACATTATTAAAAACTCATTTTGAGAACGAAAAGAAGCTAACACTTGACAGCTATCTACAGATTCCTTACTGTCAATTTTTTTTGCAGTTTTGGCACAAGAAACTACTTAACAGCGTGCCAAGATATCCAAAGAGTTGAGACCCCTCTATTCCTCATCTTCTGTTTCCTTGTCATCCTCATTCGCTTCTCTGTAGTGCCACCCCTCCTCTTCACCATTGTCACAATCCTCTTCTTTCACCTCACTATGTTCTTCATCAACAAAGCCTTTGCTGGTATGGGGCTTTGCTACTGGATTTCTGTTAAGAATGACTGTGCCCATACCTTTCCTCTGTGTAGTTTTAGCAGGTGGGGTTTTCGAAGCCAACTTCACTTTACTTCATTTTGTACTGTTTCCATTACCGCTCTTCAATGCATTATATGCATCAGGGTCACTCCCTTCATCTACTTCATTTTCAGCATTGACATTATGCTTTCCATTCTCTTCTGAATTATGGCCAGGGTGCTTTCTCTTGAGATGGAGATTGAGCTTGTACTTGTGAATGTAGGACTTATCACATCCTTCATATGGGCAATTGTAGGGGCAATCAGAAGATGCAGAACCACAAACTAGAGCTGGAGTCTTGGGTGTGTTATGAGGCTTCTCAGCTTGTGGAGTAAGCTTAACATCAGTGGACAGGTTCTGCATGATATTTAAAATCATAAAACATAAACTAACAATAAGCATATGCTATTGCTACCAAAGAAGAAAATAAATAGGAATAAGCACAAGATATCAGTGGATTACTGCTGAGTCAATCCAACTCTGAGGCTATGGTTAGTCTGTATGCATTAAGAGTATAGGGTGGAACCAGGAGTGCTTGCTTGAAAGTGAGTTTGGTGGTAAATGACTGGAAGACCCTTACATTAGAAATCTCCCAATATCTTTTACTGAGATGGAAAATGTATGCCACAACTGCTGGAGATGGGATTTTGACTTTCATTTAAACCCATGGATCCGGATCTTTAGAAAGGAAAGAAACCCAACTTCTGAAAGCTGCATCGAATAGTAGATTTTTGGTGACTTGCTGCTTGGCAAACATGATGTAGGGTTAGAAATGGGATTGCGCATTGAAGCTCGCAGAAATATTTCTTTGGAAAACTCCACAAGGCACTATGGCTTGGATACTCAACAAGCAAAATCTCAAGTGATTTGAATTAGTGCACTAAATCAGTTGAATCTATCTAAAAATAGGCATGACACAAACAACCTGAAAGTTGATCCTATTGAATGGATCAAATGACATATGGATCGCTTTTAGAAATACTGGCCAGTTAAAATCGGAACTGGCTGGTTAGACCGCAGCCGCTAGCGTCCTGAGTCCATTTAGGGGCGGTTTTAGGGTTCTAAGGACCTAGGGTATCACCCCATAAAATGTCCTGACCAAACCTAGCCAGTTAGGGGTCGAACCAGCCGTATTTTTTTCTAACCATTAGTTTAGATGTAACCAGACTAGTTTTTGTTAAAACGGCATTTTTTTGGCAAGAAAGGGGGCAAAATGACATAATGGCCGTTGTTTGAAATGGAGCACGTTATTTGCAGCAGGACCCGTGAATCAAATTTCTTTGCTTTTTATATTCGATTTCCTTGCCATTTTTTGGCCTTTTTGGTGCTTTAGTGCTGTAAACCATTATTGATTGTCTATAAAACAACAAAATTTGAATCAGAGATAAAAAAAAACAATAGTTCTTGTGGATTGAAGTAGCGAATTTTCTCACCTTTTAAAATTTCCACCATTTCATCAATTTCTTCTTGAATCGGTAACGATTATTCATGAAATGTGATGGTTTTGAATCATAGTCGAATTGATTATCATATCATTGTTTCAATTTGTTCAAAAAACAATATATAGGGAGTTGATTTTGGCCCGAAAATTTGCTCGAAGAGCCTGTGTTCGAGCTGCTCGAAGAACCCTAATTCGATCTGTTATTTCGTATTTCATCTTCAATAGGTAACGAATATTGATGATAGTTCAGGGTTTTGAATTATAGTTGAATTGGTTAGCATATACCTGATTCAATTTGTTCAAAGAATAATGTATTGGGGGTTGATTTTTACCCGAAAAGTTTCATGAAGAACCTGTGTTCGAGCTACTTGAAGAACCCTTGTTCATCCGCCCTTTCATCAATTACATCTTCAATACGTAAAAGTTCTGGATGGAAATTGGGGGTTTTGAATCATAATCAAATTGCTTACCATATACATGTTTCAATTTGTTCAAAAAGCAAGATATTGCGGATTGATTTTGGCCTAAAAATTTAATGCTCGAAGAACTTGTGTTCAATCAAAAAAATAGATTTTGGATCAATTTACTGGTCTTTTCTTATCAAATTGATCATGGATTTTGATCATCAAGGCTTCATCTTTCATACAAAATAGGTATGTCGATTTATAATCGGGTAAATGTTTTTATATGAATTTATTTCTTGGTCGATGTCATAAAAATTACATAGGTCTAAATTTTCTGTGATTTTTAAAGTAAATAAAAATACCAAATATTTTTTTATTAGATTTGGTGAGTTTGAAAGATGATGGAAGCCATTACAAAGCTTATGTGCTGAATTTGTTCGATTTTCTAAACATTGAGGATAGTTTTTTGCTTGAAATGTTGCTTGATTTTAGGGTCTTTTGAGAAACTAATCTTTCAAGAAAAAAATTAATTTTACTTAATATTATTAAGTTAATAAATTTATTTTTTATGATGAATATGGGAAGTGTCTTTCTATTTTGCTTATCAAAATTATTGTTTTTTATAAAATTATGTTTTTATGATAAAAATATGTTTTTTTTATGAATATGACAAAAAAAATCGATTCTTCTTTTTTAAATGTTAAATTTTTTTCTAACAAACAAAAAAGAATAATGATCCTATGGAACACTGCCGCACCTTGTAGCATAGGACCCTTAACGCTCACAGTCAGATCTACATCTCAATCTTGATCAGAAATGGTTTCACCGGCTAACCCCTTCCTAAAACCGGCCATGGCGGGTCATTTGTGTCTCAAAACCTCCCTTTCTCTTGCTGCTCTTAGTCCTCGCCCCTTTTTCTCTCCCTCTCCCTAGCCCACTGGTTTCCTCGCTCTCTCCCATCTTGCTCAGTCTTTAGAATTTCCTTCTGTCCAAGCGGCCCCGAGATAATTTTGGAGGACAAAAAGAGACGATGCTGCGAAAAACACCTGTTTCTCTCTCACAAGGTCACAAGGTCACAAGGTCACAGAGAAAGGCTAAAGAACAAAAAACAGGTATGCTATATCTCTGTATTTCTCAATCTCTCTATCTATAATCGCTCTCTATATTTGTATCTATATATCTCACTTTTATTGGGGGTAGGTATTTCTCAATCTCTCTCAGTATTTCTCAATCTCTCTATATTTGTATCTATATTTCTTGTTTTTATTGGGGGTAGGTATTTCTGTATGGTATCTCTCAATCTCTAAATCTCTCTCTATAAAATTGTATCTTTGTATCTCATTTTTATTGGGGCAGTGTTTCTCAATCTCTCTTTGTATTTCTCAGTCTCTCTCTCTAGGGAATTTTAGGGCCTTTTCAGTAGAGTTTTCATCATCTGATGCAAAAAGAAGGTTAGAGATGGTTGGAGAAGAAGATTGTGGTCTCTGTGGGTGTGGAGGAGGTGAAAAAGGGCACCACTTCTAGTTTTCAATGGATCAAAGATCGCTATAGCAAAACCAACTGCCCCAATAAATAGAGTGGAGTCTTGGGCCACCCCATTTTCTCAATCATTTGTTTATTTAATGGATCATCATCTTTTCATATGATTAGAGAGCATTGGATTTTTATTTTTTTTTGTGTAAATGGGTGGTTCTGTCTCTTTGGATTGTTTTGTTTTTGCTTTTCATTTACATGGTCATTTCTCTTTCTTTTTATTGCTTTCTTAGGTGAAATTTTTGGTTCTCTTTTAGCTTTTCTTGTTTCTCTGTTATGTGAGAGACTGTTGTTTTCTTTATCCTTTTCTGTAAAAAAATTTTGCTTCTTTTATGTGAGAGACTGTTGTCTCTCCAATCAAACCCAGTAAACTCAAAAATCAAGTATGTCTTTGAACATTAACTATTGTCTCATTTCCATTTTTCATGTTTATTTAGGGTTTTTTAGCTTATTAATAATGCCATTTCCATTTTTCATGCCTGTACTTTGTTTGGCTGCATATGATTTCCAGTTCAAAAAAAAATATCGCAGTAGTGTTTACTCTGAATTATTTGAGTTGCAGCGAATCACTTAGAAAAAACACAAAAAAATTCAAAATGAGCTTGTATTTGAATTATTTGGGGGTTGGTTTTTTGTTATTTACAATTATTTATGCCTATTTGCAACAAAAAGGGAAAAAAAAATGAAAATCATTGTTTTATTTCCATAACAATTATTTTGTGATTTAAACAGTAAATCATCAAGTAATTTTTTTATGTGACTGATTACTTAAGCACTATTGATTGCAAATTGGAACTTTCTCTATGAAAATTTACTATTACGGTGGTATTCTCTATCAAAAGTTATGGTTTCTTTGTTCAGATTGACTTTATAGTGGAATTCTCAGTTGCTTTGTTTGCTATTGTTAAGACTCTAAATTTTCGTGGATTTGAATATCTTATTGCAATTTTTTTAAGAGCATGACTAGTTTTGTAATTTGATGAATTACTATTTTTTTAAGACCATAGTATGGTTGTGTCCTTGATTTTGTAGTATGATGAATTACTTATGAGTGGGAGAGCCAAAATGCATTTGGAGTTTCATCCTTCTCTTTCAATCATTTTTCACATATTTGTTTAGGTGTTAGATCTTTCTTGTTTTAATATGTAATTGAGGTGATTAATTTTTTGTATTTTTTTGGTTGTGTAACGTTTGTTGAGGTTTGGCTTTTGGTTTCTCTGTCTCTCTCTTGATGTATGGCAAATGCCTTTTCTTATGTATTCAAGTGTGTGATATCTGCAGGTAAGTTCTGAGGTCAACAAAGAAGAGTCTTAGAGGTAAATACTCAATATACACCTGGCTAAAGAAGATTTTAAGTACTACTAGTGTCATCAAGAGAGAGAACTACAAGAAAATATGCACTGGCTCAATATGGTTTAGAAGACTATTGTAGAATATTTGGATATTTTGTTGTCAAGTTTCACTCGATCGGTGGATGAGAAAGCAATTGGGCATTGTTTTAGCGCAAGTTGCAGCTTTGGAGGAGAAGATTGAAGCCATTTTAACTGACTTCGAGCTCATATTCTCATTGTCATCTTTCTTTTCTTTGCTTGTATTGTGTGTTGTGAATAACTGTTGTATGTCCTATACAACTTCCAAATATTAATGAAATGGGAATGTTTTGCCACTTGTTTGCTTACTAACACTACTTCGTTTTTTTTTTCCAAATATTAAGTGCTCATTGTCAATGACTTCGGTCCAATCGAGAATGTCCAATGACAATATGTAGAGAGAGAGACCGTCCACACTCATGATACTTGAGAGTGGAGGCCAAGATATACACATCTAATTTCAACATGTAATTCTCATTCTCTATGGTTTTTCTACAGACTGGTATCGCAACACCAAAAATATTGCTACTGCTTTTTACAAGTGTTAAGCAGCCCACAAAGAGGTTGCCCTATACAAAAACCCGCAAAAGGGCTAAAAAAATGTTTTACATCCAAAATACAAATAAAAAGTTTAAATATAAAAAATAGGGGACCATATGCTTAAATACGTGCTAAAAAAAATCCCATGTTTGTTGTCTTGTGTTGCTCCTCTTTATGGAGAACATCGGATGCTACGCTGGGCTCTCCCAATGAGTAATTCCATAAGAAAAGTGGGACTCATCCACAAGGGTCGGAACAAAATGTTGTAGTTGCATCAAACTGCATGTCAATAGCAAAAAATAATCACCAAGCAATATATAATAGGTTATCACTAAGAGGTTCTAAATGTCATGGCCAAAATAAATCATAGATATATACAAAAGAAATGATCATATGAAACAAAATATATTTAACTAGCTTGCATGTATGTCATTGGGAAGAGTACCATAATAGTAAAAGCTTACCTAAAAGGCACCATTATAATCTTAAATCTAGCATTTGAGGACTGACATGTGGTCATGGCATCTATCGCTGAAATCTATAAAGTTAGAAAAAAAAAACTTGTCATACATGTCGTGAGAGTAAGAAAAATAGTAGATAAATAGAGTATAAGGTAATCAATATTTTATCCCTGCAAGGTGCGAATCAATACTTTTTGACAATGACTAAGTGCATGAATTATGTTCTACTTTATTGCACATATGACATGTTCTTCCACGACTTCTTTTCTGATGGTGCTTTAATTCTTATGATTGAAGGGCAGCCCTTTGTTACTGCCAGTAATGGGTTTTGCAATATAATATCACTTGTTGAACAATCTAGATTTATTTCACTTGTTGTCGTAGCTACTCCCATGTTACTTTCTTGCCCATAGTGCAAATTTGTGTTGCATTTTCATTACTTTCCTCATGGATAGCTCTTTGCCTCAATTCTTGAAATCCTAACAACACCATATAAAAAAAATGTGTAGCTGTAGCCCCAATCTTTGCAATGTAATTGCTTCGCGATTTAAATAGTTGAATCGTGAGAATAGAGAATCCATAGAATTTCCCATCACTCCTTTTTTATGCTCACTTAAAAAGCCCATTTCTTGGCATTCCTTATCCATCGCCTCAAAATGTATTCAGATGGGATTTCTTGAACATGCTCACGGTGCAAAATGGCTAACATATTCTACAAAGGTACTTAGAAAACTTTAAACAATTTATAGCTACAAGTTGCTTCAGTTTTAGAGACATCAAATATAACTATATATTCTTTGCTATTTTTTTCATATGCGGTCAACTTGTATATGTTAATTGACCCATCCTCCTCAATTTTATTTACCACAATTGATATCACTTCATCCAGTTCCTTTTGAAACTTAACGAACATTGCCCTGGTATAAGCATCTACTGCTTATTTCTCTATAGGTAGTCTTGTGTTCAAAATTGGTGTAGAATAAGAAGTGAGTTGATCTAAATAGAATTCGTCGTTGCACCGGCGATCATGGGCTTCTTCATATTTAAGAACAAATTCTTGCAGGGTAGTTTATGAGTTAAAAAACCTATGAAAAAAATAGTTCATGCTTTCACTTCGCTGGGTAGTAGAGCAATTTGCAAAGAATGTACCACGCAAGTAGACTAGTATCCATTGATGTCAAATATCATATAATGATGCTAACCATTATTTTCCATTGATGTCGAATATCATATAATGATTCTAACCAATTATAATGATGCTAACCACCTTAAGCTCATACTTATCAATAAGCAATCCCCATGAACTCTCGAACTCTTCAATTGTTTCGGTCCAAGTAATACAATTGAGGAACTCCCTTACAAAAGTAGGATGTTTTGCACAAATGCTACCCAACTTCTCATTGACCTTGTTTAAGATGTGCCATTTGCAAAATTTGTGGACAGTGTTCGGGAATATATGAGCAATAGCTCCTTGCATGGCCTTGTCTTGGTTGGTAATTATTGTAATTGGATGTTTGCCATGCATGGCTAAAAGCCATGTCTCAAATAGCCAAACAAATGACGATTCGGTTTCATCTCCTAAAAGTACACACCCAAATAAGGTAGAATTTGTGTGGTGGTTAATTTCAGTAAAAGGGGCATAAGGCATTTTAAACCTATTAGTCTTATAGGTTGTATAAATAATGAATACATCCCCAAAACATTGATATGCATTCCTTGACCTAGCATCAACCCAAAAAATATTTGCTAAATGACCATCGTCAGTTACATCTATTGCATAAAAGAAGGATTTTCACTTTGCATGCGCTTTCAATAATTTCAGAGCAATTGAGCATCATAGTCAAGGGTTTTCCTTTTAAGCTTTCTAAACTCATTTCTACAATCACGATCCATTAAACCTAAATAACAGTATCCACCAGATTCTACTCTAAAGACATTCATAATCTTATTAATAGGAATCTCGGCTTTATGAAAAGTATCTATAATACTTCTCTTACATTCAAAAACATCCCGATGTGATAGGAGACAACGACCTTATTTGGGCTCACAAATTCATGATTGTGGTCTCTCTCAAACCATTTAACAATCCCCTTATCAATGTCTTTTTTACATATTTTCATCATTGCTTTGCAACCAACTCTTGTGTCTGGTACCTTTCGAGTAGGTTTTTCAATATCAACTTTCATTGAATGAAATCCTTCTCTTAAACATAAAAATCTACGAGAGCGCACGACTCTGTCATGTTGTGTTTTTTTTGTATTTCCCATGCGCATGCTAAATCCCATTCGCTTTGCATATTCATTATATAATAATTTTGCTTCTTTTTCAGATGAAAATTCCGTACCCACAAATGGTTCACAACCAATATTTCCTTCATTTGCATTAGGGCTTACATCTTCCACACTGCAAGTGTTTATAACATTGACCTCCTTAGAACTATCATTATTGCTCCCTTTTACATGTGATTCCACTAGTGTATGTAGACCTTTTATAGGTGCCTGTTGTCATTCAAATGATTGGTCAAACTTCAACACAAACAAATAAATATTGGTGCAGTTTTGAATCACTCGTTACCTAGATAACACTATCAATTTCTTCCGCATTGGCATTATACCATAAGGGATGATCCTCAATGGTTACCTCCATGGTTAGGAGGAAATCTTAAAGCATTTTTGGTGTTTATTTCTGGATCAGCAACATGGAATGAGAATGACACAATGAAGTGTAATAGAAAAATTTAGACTTTAGATACAATTGGCAAACTCGATCAATTTAACTAGAAAAACATGTATCATGTGTCATACTCTAACATGTATCAATTCAACTAGAAAAACATGTATAGAAACAATACATGTAGACCTACGATTTCTGAGCTATGAAAAAGAGAGAGTGAAAGAGAGAGAAAGTGAAAGAGAGAAATGTAAAACTGGTAGAGAGAGCGAAAGAGAAACATGTAGCTTGAGTATTACATTTCTTTATGGCTGTATATTTCTTTATCCCCTTCAACCTACAATAAACAAAAAAAAAAATACCAGAATATAGTTGATACATAAAAACTTCAACCAGACAGAGATATTGCAAAACAGAGAGAAACAGAGAGACTGATTGTAAAACAATTTAAATTACCTTCTATAGATTCCCTAACATACAACGATCTTGTAGATATAGCCATCTACAACTCGTGCCTATACTAAAATTAGGCAAATTATGCAAGAATTCTAGTCGATTATGTAAAATTACATCTCCCAAAGTTCTACGTGTTATTATTCTACATCTCCCAAGCAAAAGTAGAGAGAGAGTAACAGGGGAGAAAGTTGCAGTTAGAATATTGAATATCCTAAAAGCTTTTAATATAAAAAAGTAAACAGAACTAGAAAAGGATAAAGAAAACAACAGTCTCTCACATAATAGAGAAACAAGAAGAGCTAAAAGAGAGTCAGAAATTTCACCAAAGAAAGTAATAAAAAGAGAGAGAAATAACCATGTATATGAAAACCAAACACAAAACAATCCAAAGAGATAGAACCACCCATTTACACAAAAAAAATAAAAATCCAATACTCTCTAATCATATGAAAAGACGATGATCCATTAAACAAATAAATGAGTGAGAAAATGGGGTGGCGCAAGACTCCACTCTATTTATTGGGGCAGTTGGTTTTGCTACAGTGATCTTTGATCCATTGAAATCCAGAAGTGGTGCCCTCTTTCACCTCCTCCACACCCACAGAGACTACAATGTTCTTCTCCAACCACTCTAACCTTCTTCTTTGCATCAGATGATGAAAACTCTACAGAAAAATCCCTAAAATTCCGTATAGAGAGATTGATAAATACAAAGAGAGATTGAGAAACACTACCCCAATAAAAATGAGATACAAAGATACAATTTCAATAGAGAGAGAATGAGACATACCAACCCCAAAAAAAGAGATAAATAGAGAGATTGAGAGATGCCTTACAGAAATACCTACCCCCAATAAAAACAAGAAATAAAGATACAAATATAGAGAGATTGAGAAGTATAGAGAGAGATTGAGAAATACCTACCCCCAATAAAAGTGAGATACAGAGATACAAATATAAAGAGAGATTCATAGATAGAGAGATTTAGAAATACAGAGATATAGCATACTTGTTTTTCGTTCTTCAACCTTTTTTTGAGACCTTGTGACCTTGCAAGAGAGAAAGAGGTGTTATTCGCAATATCGTCTCGTTTTGTCCTCCAAAATTATCTTGGGGCCACTTGGATAGGAAGAAATTAGAAAGACAGAGCAAGATGGGAGAGAGGG